TTTCCTCTTTCAAATACCTGCTTTAAGACTATTTATTTGTTTGTGTAACTTGATGATGAGAATTATCTCCAGCCCTGCCTTCTGCTACTTAGTCATTTAAGTTCCAACACATAGACTATTGTATTCTCAATTAAAAAAATCACTTTTGTTTTCAATAATAAATGCCATCTTTAATTAAACCTTTTAACACACTTTTTCAGGCAAACTGTTACAGCTATACAGTCCTCTCCTTAATCAACTTATATAACTGAACTGACACTATTATTATCCCTTGTGCTCAACTTTCAACCTCTGCAAAATTCTGAACTATAAATATAAAGTATACATGACCTACAAAGATAACTTGGGTAACACATATTTGAGATGAATAAAGAGTGGGTTATTGTCCTATTTTTTCCAACGAAAAGTAACTTCCATTTATTTATAAAAATAAAAAAACTAAATAAAATAAAAAAAAGAATCAAAATGAAATTTTCTGCTGACAAGAAGAAAAAATAGTCCTTACTTCTTCCAGTAGATTTCCTTAACTTTGTACTGTCCAAATGCTACGTGAGTGTCCTTACTAAACAACTCTTTCAAATGTGTGCTGAGACCACTGCTGCGTCCAGCAGCCTTGTAGAGCTTCATTGCACTAATGGAAAAGTCATTCTCTTTGTCCAGTTTCAAACTTTCAGCAAGTGCCTCTCTTATGTACAGGTGGGGATGAAATGATAATTCACAGAATAAGAGTGACACTCGGTTGAATGTTCGCATCATTGACATATCCTGATTGAGACTTAACTCAATAATTCTTGATTATTAAGCCCCAGGCTCATTGTCAGCATCTTATACCATCTCAGCAAAAGGGTTAACCAGAACCCCAGGTCTGGGCTGAGACAGAGGGCAAGGTTCAGGGTCAACCAGAGAAAACTCCAATGGTGGCCAATTGGTCTGCAATGGCAGCAAATTGGCAACTGCCATCTGGCATCGGGTATAAATGAATGTTCAGGTTTGATGATTCAAAAGACTTCAATCTCTCCTTGTGTGCAAGGAATACGCAGGTGCATTTGTTTTTTTGGCGGGGGGGGGGGGGGACAAGTCATTTGTCGTATGCAGCGTGGTGTTTCCATTCTCGCCCCTTCTCCTAACGTCTCCTAAAACAAAAGCCTATGCTTTTGGGTGGGCAGGGTTTTGTGTATTGGTGGACAATTTTCTTCATGAACCTCAGCTGGGGAACAGGTTAACCGATTGGCTTTTCTCCCATAATACACCTGAAAAGGAGACATCCAACTCAAAACCTCCTTTGGGTCTTTATTATTTATTATTTTGCCTTGTGTATCACATTATAGGTCTGATCTGACATTGCTCCCTGTCCATGTCCTGTACATCCCCAAATGATACAGGAGAGGACAAAGATTTTTTTGCAGATCTTTTCCAGATCTGTAAAATACATGCAATGATGTTAAAAGACTAAGTCGAATCTTTTTATTTTGCATCCCTACTGTAGTGCTGTAGTGTCAACCCCTCGACTTAATGCATGCCCTCTTGTCTAATAAGAGTACTAAAGTTTATCAGAGACATTCAAGTTTGTATTGAATTGATGTGTATTCAGTTTTACCCCCCAAAAAAGTGCCAAAAAATTTCTAAAACCCTTTAATTTTCATTAGTCCCTTCTTTAAACTCTAAACTAAG